CTTTACTCTAATTGCCCCCTATCTTATCTATTTCCTTCTCTACAGCCTCAGAGTGTTAATGATTCACTTATGATTCAACATTTAGGGGGTTGTCAGGCACTAGGATGGGTGCTGGATACCAAGGATAATATGATGTTGCTTTTAGGAGTCTGGCTTCTAAGCATCGGTTGTTCTCTCCGCCTTTTCCACCAGTTTCTCCTCCCTCTGTCCTGGGAGGGGATCCTAAACCTACCCCCCACCCCCATGGTTAATCCCTCTGTCAACTGGCAGCAGGGTACAGATCAAAGGCGCGTCAAGCCAAGAAGCCTGGAGGAAGCCAGACCAGCTCTCAAGAATGCCGCTGACAGCACGCGTTTCCAAGCGCAGAGCCAACATTTGGAGGCAAGGATGCAAAACTAAGAAAAGTTACCCTAGCCAACTGCGTGGGGCCGGCGCCTCCCCTCCCCGGCCGTGCGGGGACATAACCCTGGAACCTTCCCGGGGCTGGGTCTCTGCGAGGGGTGGGTCAGCAGCTGCACACGCAGCCCACAGGCAGTATCGGAGACCGCGCCCGGAAAGGGTATCGGACCCGGAGCATGAGAGCTTTCTTCTCCGCCCGCTTTCTTCCACAAATTATTTTCAAGGATGGAAAAGCCGTAAAGGAGCCATTCCCCACTCCGGCTCTCCGCTTGGGTCCCTGCCCTGCCCGCGAGCTGCGTCCGGCGCTTACCCGGTGCTCACATCTCCCGCGCGCCCCTGTCTGTATCCCCAGGCAACGTCCCTCCCACGAGCCCGACGCACAGGGCCACAGCCCAGAGCAATCCCACCGGGTCCCTGGAGTGAAGGGGAAATCTTTGCTGACTTGGCCTGGGCCGAGGGACCCTCTGCTCAACTGATTAGTCTCAAGTAGCATGAGTCCCCAAGCGCCCCAACTTTTCTCCCCCTTAGGCATCCCAATGAAGCCAATGGCATTTGGACCCTATCCGCCCAGGTCTTTAATTCACCTGATGACTGAAATCTGTCTTTGAGGGAACAAGATGAGAGCACAGGTCCACACACCGAATCACACAAATCTTTTATTTTACGAGGAGGAGTGGTTAGATTTCCCTACTGGCATTTAAGTATTAAGAATACACCGCATGCCTTCATGGAGTGAACAGAAAAGTAAAAGAAGCTGGAGCCCAGATCATGCATGTAGACTCTTAACAAAAAGTTCCCAAATATTCCCCCCACTTTTTTCTACATCAACTTCTTTTGTTTCTAGAATGAGACATACCCCCAAACAGTGACTCTCAAAGTGTTGTTCCCAGACCAGCAGCATCAACATCAGCTGGGAATTTCTTAAAAATAGAAATTCTGGGACTCACAGATAGACCTCTTGAATCTGGAACTCGGGTGGGTGGAGCCAAACAATCTACATCCACCAGCGGTGCAGGTGACTGTCGCTCACACTGCAGAGCCGGTGGCTTAAGTCTCCTCCGTATTTCCCACTGGCTCCTACATCTAACCAGCAGGCACCGATAACAGACCTTCTTTATATCTTCTCGGTTTTTAGAAAGAACTATCCGATTTGACAGTGGGAAAACCTGCTGGATGCACAAGTTGCCTGTAAAGGCATACAATCAGAATAAGAGAGAGAGAGAGAGAGAGAGAGAGAGAGAGAGAGAGAGAGAGAGAGAGAGAGAGAGAGAGAGAGAGAGAGAAAAGAGAAGAGAAAGAGAGGGGGGAGAGAGAGACAGAGAGAGACAGAGAGAGACAGAGAGAGAGAGAGAGAGAGAGAGAGAGAGAGAGAAAGGACCTCCCCTCTACAGTCCAGTTTCAGTATCTGCCTGCTTCTCCTGAGAACTCACAGAAATGCTTATGTGGAACACCAGTCTCCCTCCAGGCTTCTACAACCTGTTAGGGTTGTTCTCCTGGTTGTTTCTGAAAGCATTTTCTGAAATAGTTTTCATAAGCAAGAGGTCACAGACAAGATACTCCCCAACCCTCATCACTAACTATCTGGCTTGTGGCAAGGGGTGTGCCTCCTATTCAAATCAAGACACACCAAGTACCTGGGTTGGCCCTGGGTAGGCTGGCTGTCACTCCTTGCTGGAACAGAATGGAGAAGAGCAGTATACCCTGGGAAGTAGCGTGTGGTGGGTATGACAGTGTTTATCACCTGGTGTGAGGGAAGGGCCCATGGGGATGGAGAGATTTTCAGAACTGGATATGTGTGTGTGTGTGTGTGTGTGTGTGTGTGTGTGTGTGTAGGGGGTGTGGAGTGGTCACATTGCCACGTTCCTGGGGCTAATGGTACACACAACCCTGTCATTTTCACCTTGCTTGCTCCTGCAGTGGGTAACAGTGGGTCCTGAGTGCCCAGGCTCATTGGCTAGGCTGAGACCACCCTCCATGGGCGGAGCCAGAGAGCAGTATGGCCATTCTGTTTGGTGGTACCAGTACCTATCCTGTCCCTGAAATTTTCAGGATTCTAGATTCTAGATTCTAGTAAATAGTCATGGTGGTAGAACTAGTCTGGACAAATTTGGAGAACACTGGGGAGGAGTAAAGGTGTGTGTGAGAGAAAGAAATTGTAACTTTCAGTATTGCATCAGAGGTGTTTTGGTTCTTGCAATAAAAAGACGGTGGTTTGAAGGTTATAAACATACACTCTTTGAACTTCCTGCCTGAAACACTTGCAGGTTGGGTCTAGCATGGACAGCTCACCACCGGCCAGTTAGTATATAAGTAACTGATATTTGTATGGACCATTTCCTTTACAAAGCAACTATGCAAATATAATCTCATTTAAGCCCCACTAAGGCTTTGCAAGGAGAAAGAGGAAATGTATGAGTATGATTATTGTCATTATTATCAAGTTTATCCCCATTTTTGGAGATGGGAAAACTGAGGACACAGGACTTTTCAGGAAAAATTTGGACCTGATCAAAATGGAGATTGAACCCACAGGTCCTATATCCACTGCCTCATGCCTCCCGTTGAAAGCAAAGGCTTCAATTTATAGGCAGGATACACAGGAGGAGGTTTATTTTTTTTCCTTTAAGAAAAAAAATTTTTTAATCTGTTTGCAGTTAAGACCCTTCACAGAAGGAGCAAGTAGAAGTTTCTTTCCCATGGGCCGCCTGAGTCCAGTGTTAAGAATTTTGAGTATTTGTTTTGTAAAAACGTGAGAGCTTGGAAGATTTGCTGAACGTGAAACGCAAACACTGGGACTCATCTTCAACTTGTACTCTGGGTCATGAGGCTAGGGGAGTGTCCCTCTGCTGAAAGCGACGGAACATGCAAATTTGAGGAAGGTGTAGGCGTCTGGAGCTTGAAAATGCGTTCTAGAAGGTCAGGTGGTGGGTGATGGATTGGTAAGAAAGCCAACAGCCTGAGAAGTCCTTCAGGTGCAAATGACAGGTACCTGGACAAGGAGCGAAGGAAGTTCCCAGCCCTTGAGAATTGCACTTGGTAGTGTGGGAACTACTGCCCGTAGGGAACAGCTCCCTGGAGCAGCGATCGCCGCATCTAGGCCTGCGTTGCTGCACCTACGCCGAGGGCCAGGCGAGGGCTCCGCCCACAAAGTGGCTTTTGGGGTGGAGTGGAAGTAAGTGAAGGGCGAGCTAGGGAGCTCTAACTCCAGGTACCAAACTGAGCCGAGAAAAAAAAAAAAAAGAAAATCGAAAAGAAAAAGCAAATGAAGCGGAAGTTTCAAGGCCCTCTGCGAGGAATAACAGTATAAATAACCGAAGACGTCTTGTAAACACTGCGGTCATAACCCCGAACATTAAACAGCCCCGGTGGCATCTGGCGCATCGGCCGCCAAGGGCTGCGCTGGGGCAGCGAGGGAACTCGGTCCCAGGCTCCTCGGCCTCCCTTCTCTGTTTATCTCAACTTAATCTTCCCCAACGAGCTGTTCCGTAGCCTGGAAGATGTTTAAATAAAACCCAGTTCGCCGGAAGTCGTGGCGGGGAACTGAACGCACTGGCTAAGCATAACTGATAGGCAGGCATGTTGGGCTGTGAGAAGAAATCTACACATTATTAATAGGAAATACAAAATGTGTGTTGCAGCACTTTGAAAATGTAAAACACACCCTAAGTGTTACGGAATTAACATTTTTCGTAATTCTCATTATTTCTTCTGGTTTGCAACTTTGGGTTGTTTGGGTTCATGTCCGCGCCTGGAAAGTTAGAAAATACGGAATTTACCTTCCTGCTCGTGTCATCAATTATACTGCGGAATACATGAAAATCGGATTTTCCTTTTTTGTGAGTCTTTCTCTTGAATTGTGTAACTGTTAACTTTAATCCTTTTCTTATTAACATTTCAATTACTTCTAATGGTCTAAAAGGTACCCTGCAAACCTGAGACAGCAGTTTCTTTTTGAGGTTTCAGTGCAAAATTTGATTGGCACCTTCAGAGCGCAAATCGTATTTATTTAAGCCTTTTCTATCTCTAGAAGTTCGGGTTGAGGGTCAAAAGAACCACTTTTGCTATCAAGCTTCTTCATTCCAAATAAAAAATTTAAAATATCACACCAATGTCAGGTCGTTTAGCAATATAAAGAAAGATTTATTTTTGAAAGTAGCAAAACTTGTTTGAAAAAAATAGATATCTTTAAGTGAATTACTTTATAAATGTGACTGTCAAAGTCAGCTATTCTATGATCTACATTTTACAACATATTGTACAAAAGATACACATTGATAGGCTCTAATATTATCTATTTATATATTTATAATTACATATTGCACTTGGACCAGCAAGGCTCGCAGAGTCATTCATGGTAGAAGTTAATCAAGTTAAATAGATGGGAATCTTTGTAAGTACAGTTGATTTCCTCTGGTTTGGAAACGAATCTCCTCGTCGCTGTAAAGTGTTCTCGAAGGGTGGGACAGGGAGAGGAGCGTTGCGAGGGGAAGCAGAGACAGAGAGCAGGGAGGGCAGGGGTCGCCTTCCCGGGGCCGTTTCCCCCGGGAGCGCGCCTTTCCCAGACTCACACCTCCAAGGTCAGGACGCCGTGGTTCCACATAAGCGGCTTGCGGTCACCACTTCTTTCAGGTCACTCTCGGGTTTCCCGGCCACCATAAAGGGCCACGTCTGCAGGAGAGAAGAGGGTGGAGGAGGTAAGTGGCAGTGGAGGCGGGGTGGGGTGGGCTCGCAGCAGCACGCTGGGGGCTGGCAGCCTGCTGGAGAGACGTTATCTCTGCAGTTTACTAGGTGTCCTGGTGCGCCCCATGGCTGGATAAAGCAAAAAGCAGCATGGACGCCAAATCACGGCTCCGGGTGGTAGAGGGGTTCACACTAGGCTTGAATAGAAATCTTAGAGAGGAGACCCTTGGTAAGCTCTTGCCTTGAAACAGCCCAGAGGCAGATGCCAGGGTGAGTTTAAGCCGGGAGGCCAAGAAGGACCTCGCGCCCACTGAGCACCGGGTCCGAGAAGAGCCTCTGTGGCCCGGCTACTGAGATTCTCGTCGGCCTTCCTGGCTGTCTTCCGTTCACCCCCATGTATTTCCCTAGTGTCAACTTTCGTTTCCTTCATCACAAACGCGGGGTTTGGCCACAGTTTCTAAATTAATCGCTAGCTCTTAAGGAGAAAAAAAATAATGTGAAGAAAAAATTATACACACATATTTCATTTAAGATCGTCCTCTTATTGGGCTGAGCAAGCATAGCTCTCTCTTCCCTTTTCCATGATGTTTTATAACAAAGCACACTTAACTTTTTTATTCCAAAATGAAGGCAGCAGCAATTGTAAATGAAGGCAGTACTTTCATTTTAGTTCCACGTTTTAAAAAGCTTTTTATTCATCTAATTCGAAATATAAACTTTTAACTGGAAGGGAAAATATTTTTCACTTCAAAATGTGTTTTTGCCTTTCTCGCAATTCCTGAGGCCAATTCAGTGAGAAGACAATTCAAACCTTCAAACCTCTCTCACTAGTGCTAGTGATAAGACGACTTTTAAGGGGAAACCTCTCCTTATCATATATAAACAGAGGTGCTAGTAAGTTGTTTTTCTTTAGAGCCTAGAAGCTTTAAAATTAAGCCAAATAAAAAGAAATTAAAAAATATTTCTTAAAGAATAAAATGCATTTGCGAAAAAATATTAACCTCAATGAGCATTACTTTATTTAAAAAATAAACAGGCTGAAAGGGCATTGCTTTCAAGATAAAAATAACATTCTTAAATCTTGGTTGAGAGTGACCTATTTTAATATTTATTACACTAATCCTAGTGAAAATGTACTGATTATGTTGAGATTTGCTGTAAATTCTGGATTTAAAAATGTTAATCCACCTACTGGAGAAGTGTAGTATGTTTAAGTAATTGGGAATTTTCAAGACAATTATGGGGGGCATGAATGTGTCCAATGCTAACGGTCCTAAATATATTTGGAACAGAAACAGAGTTGAGTGTTTTTATTTCCAAGAAATTGAGGGAAAAATCAAGTTCTACTTTTCAGCTTAAAGAAGAATAAAGGGATGCATAAAATGCCTTCTCGGCGCGCAACAGCTTGTCAATTTCCCTGTCCCTCACCAGCCCCGATGGCGCTGGCGCAGATGCCAGCTCCAGACACTTGCAAAGTCCTAACTGTGCTGCCACGTCAAACACTCGCATAAATCACCCCGCTCCGGCGGCTTGAAGGGAGGGCAGAGAGCGAGGGCTGTGTGGGGATCTCCTGCAAAGGTCCCAGGAGGCGCTGGGCTGGTGGTGGCCGAGGCGCGCGCACACGCACACCGCAGGCAGGGCTGTGGTCGCGCTGGGCGAGGGCGCACGGATCACCGCTGCAGCGCGCGAGCACTTACCAGGTTGACCGGGTGAATGTAACCGTTCTCGTACTTGTCGTTCGCCAGGATCTGCCTCAAGTGGGCGATGTAGCTGGACGCCAACCTGAGCGTGTCCAGCTTGGAGAGCTTGGTGTCCGGGGGCACCCAGGGCAGGGTGGTCTTGAGCCTGGAGAAGGCCTTGCTCAGCACCCGCATCCGGGCCCGCTCGCGCGCGTTGGCTGCGTTGCGCTGGACCTGCTTCCCCTCCTGGCTGACCCCGCTCAAGGGGCTCTTCTTAGTGGGAGCCTTCCTCCTTTTGCCCAGGCCGCCACGGCCCTTCTGGGGAGACCCGGTCTCGCAGTTGGAGCCTTCTTCGGTGCTCTCATTGGAAGTCACAAACTCCTTGTTCGAGTCCATTTTCAGGCCGTCGCAGTCCAGCATCTCCACCTCTTGAAGATCCTCCACATCGCTGAGGGAGCCGGTAGACATGTTTGGGGGAGAGGATGAGAGAGACAGAGGGAAGGGAGGGGGGAGAAAGAGGACAGAGTAAAGAGGGAGGGAGAGAGCGAACCCCCGAAACCAATGGGCCCCCAAGCGTGGAGTGTGGAGCAGCCACCTGGTGCTGGGGATTGGAGCTGGGGGTCTGGTGGAGTCTCACACTCCTTTCCCCTTCTCAGAGTTGCGAGAAGGAACCGCGAGGGCTTCTGCGGGAAGGAAGACGGCGCTCTGTTTCCCCACCCCGGAGTCGTGGCCTTAGAGGAGTGTGAGAGAGCGCTGAGGAATTTGGTGGACACTAGGAATTTATCTGGGGAATAGAGAGGCGGATCCTTGCAGCCCAGGGGAGGGGCCTGCTAGGCCCCAGCAACCTCTTAGACCCCTTTCATAATCGGAGGGAAACTCTCACGCACAGACCCTGATTTCCAACTTGTAATGTAAATCAATTCAACTGCAACACGCAAATACCAGACACCTTCTTCCACTTGGGCCCAGCCAAAGAGGAGCAAGCTCCACCCACAGGGCCCAACTCCTAAGGCCAGCTTTCCCCCTTAAGAGGTCATAGCTGGCTGTTCCTGAGAACTTTAGGAAAATGACCAGATCCTTTTGCTCTTTCTGGGCCTTCCACCCACAAATTTCACAAGCATCCCTCATTCCGCTGCCCCGCAAGAGTACACCAGTTAAGAAGACCCAGGCAGGGATCAGTTGTCCTCTGCCAACAGCCCCATAACACTGTGGACATCTCCCCACCTTAAGTGGGGGAAATTAAGAAAACAGGTGCTCTGTAGAATCTTTAGGGTGACAGCAGAGAAAAGTACCAAAAAAAATCCATCTGCACCTGGTCACTTTAAAGACATCAAAGAACTGCCTGTGTATGCACAAACATACTTGGCCATTGCACACCTACACACTGACAATTTAGTGGAAGTGGGGAGGAGGGATGAGATAGAGTAATAGGAGCATGCGGAGAGTACTTTGCCAGTTGATAATCTTCTCTTAATGAAATTAAAACTTACCCCTAAATTTCTTTCTGGAAATGCATTTAGCATTGTCTTAAGAATCTTAGTTGCTCTCAGACATCGGACTTTGCCAGGGGATTCTTGTTACCTCCCTCCCCGTTGCTGCCTTTGCTTTCTCCTTACTTTTGCTACCAGGGTTCCACATATGAAACTGACATCACAAAACACTAGGCAGTATTATTCCTTTGGGACAACTTCTTTTCTATCCCTAACCCCAGCCTGGATCATCTTTCCTGGAGAATAAGAAAGCCAGGAGAGTAAGGAGTAAAGCAGATGAAACCAAGGGACTGAATGAAATTGGTGAAATGAAATCAGAGAGAATAAAAGCATGAATCTCTCTTCCTATTTCTCCAGGTTTCTTGCAATTAGGCATTGCAGATGAGGGGCTCGAGCAAAGTGTAGGAGTGGCTTCTGAGCTTTTGGCCCAGAGTCTGCACCTCTCTCCTACGTTAAGATATCATATCTCTAATCCGGGGCTCAGCTGGGAATTCACTAACCTCCAACGTTTTGTTTTGTTAGCAGGATCTTGTTTGTTTTCCCCCTATGCTGTAAACTAAACAGATTGTCAGCAAATCAGTCTTTATTAATGAATCAGTGAGACACCCCCCAACTACCATAATATCTTTGCCCAGGATCCAAAATTTGTTAATCACCAGTGTAGAGATTTATGAGCTCTCTTATTTTCTGTTGTTTGTGCAGGTGGAGATTTAAGTGACCATATCCACCACCAAGATTTATTGTGAGAGAGTGACTGATGTTATAAACCAGGAAAAGGACTCTTCCCACAGCAGGGATGACAGAAATATCAAGTTGAAGTTGCCTTTGTCCGCAGGCACAAATGATCCAGTATTACAACACAGAAAGTATAATAATTTAATCTGGGATCTGAGACAGCATTAAGAGAACACCCAGCAGGCCTGTTAAACATTTCCCCACTGATTTCCACACTAATTTTCTTTGGTTTGCCCTCCCTTGTCTCAGTCTTGGTAAGACATGAAAGTTAAAGTTATTTTTAGATTCAAAGAGTTATGTGAAAATGGGGATTGGCCAATACTTTGTGAAAAGTGTGTGTGTGTGTGTGTGTACATGTGTGTTTGTATAGCTATTGAGATATCCGCAGATTATTTATTTGGGCTCTGGCACAGGATAATAATTTGAATCAGAACTATGGCCTTATCACATACCAGGGTATTAAGCTGTTAAGATTTTGCTTCTTGGGACACTCTTTTATTGGGGGAGGGAGAAGATCTGTTTTTCTGTCACACCTTAGCTGGTAGGCTGCTCAGGCGTTTGGGGGTATAGTATCAATCACAGTAATATGTACCACTGAATAGGCTTCTGCTATTTTTGTCAAAGTTAAGGATAGCAATTTCTGGAAGGGAGCAAAACTAACTTAATGCCACAAACGGGCTTTTGTGCCTGGCAATTATTATTATTATTCTGTAGATGGTAAAGAATCAAGTCTACTTATCCTGCAGTGATGTGTTTAGGCTGGGAAGGGCTAGTGAAGTTCAATAATGAACTTTGGGGTGATTGTAAAGACTCTCTAACGGATGGCTGCCAGTTTGGGAGCAAGATGAGGAGGCTGTTATTTAAGTATCTTGATGTGAAGTCTTGATGAAAGTAGATTAGTATGAACAATATTTTTTTTCTCTTGACATTTTGTGCCTATCCCTGCTAATAAACACTTAGGAACAAATGGGTGGGGAAGTGACTTACTGTTGGATTCTACTGAGAAAATCAGCTAGGCTGTACTTAAGCTGTTCTAAATTCTCCCAAATTTATATACTTTATTTTGTGAGGAGAGAAGCAATTTTGAGAAGCTGTATTAACTCTTTCAGTAACAGGAGAAATACTTTGAATATCACTAAACAGAAAACTAGTGGCAGAAAAGCATGAAACAGTTATTAAAATTTTTACCTTATTTTTAAGAGAGAGTTTGTGGAGACATCTGGTCAATTTGCTGCACACTTCTAACAATTTGTTTTGCAAGAAAGGCTATCTTTGAAAGATTTTAGTGCTAAGGAAAATTTATCGCCAAAAGTTGTAAAATAAAGATTAGGCATGGAATGTATCCTTGAACTTAAATCCTGGTTTATCAACTGATAAATTTTCAGGAAGTTCAAATTTGATTCAATTGCACTTGGATGGAATAATTTGATTCCTTTTTTATGGGAAGGAAAACCTCATAGGCTTCTTTTGAAATGATTTCATATGCCATCATATTCTCTTCCCTGATGTAGGGGGAATGTATCTCTAAATTCGAATTGTAACCCTTTTCTAATACACCCTATTTTTTTGTCCAGAACCCATACAGGCTGGCAAATTGGTGAAACTGCTAATTTGCTCTTTTTCCTTCACTTCTAATTAACATCATCAGGAGTGTTATTCTCTTTATTTGATAGTAACCACCCCCCACTTCAACAATGTGCTGACCTAGGCAAATTGATGCCTCCTTCGCCATTCAACATCATTGTCACTGTATCCTTTTGCTACTGATTGCTTTGCACCTTCTGCTAACAAGCCCACTGAAACCTGATTCTATTTTATTAAATGGTGACCTTAGCATTATCACCCCTTGTTGAAATTGTAATGGTGCTGGCCTGTTATATTATGAGAGCTGCAGTGAATATAGCCTAAGTGATGGGATTCATGGCTGTCTAAGGAGGTCAATAACAGTGATGCAGGGTGTTGATGTTATCTCTACCTGGCATCATTTATGATCAGTAGTCACCTACCCTCCCTGTCCCTTCTCATTTCATTCAGTGAATTGTAGATCTAATGCCACAGCACTATGATTTAAAGCTGGCAAACAAAAACAATAAAACCCAAAGGAAAACTCATTGTGGTTTTTAGACCCATGAGATAATCTGGCATCCGTGTGTTCCATACTGTGACTTTGAAAGCAACCAGGCCTGTGCACATGGAGGAGAGAGTTTACCTTAAGAAGCAAATTGGCTGAAGGAAACTCAGGCAGATAGTGAGAGGTAAAAACTTTATAGACCCAGTTTAATGGCCTCCTAAGTCTTCTAATATTAGAATAATTTTATTAGACTCACACGATATTAGGAAAGAAGGAAGGAAAAACTGAACACCTCTCTAGTCAGGCACACATGAGGTTCTTTGCCTCCATTCTGTCATTTTATATAGAATCTTTCTGTTGATACTACAGAAAGAACTACCAGGAAATCTTAACAGCAATGTATGCTAGAGACTTTCCACCCACAACAATGAAGTTTTTGAAAAACTTGCTTGAGTAATGACTTTCTGTATCTTAATGGAAAGCCTGAGACCAAGTTTTCATAAAAAAGAATAAATCTTGTGGATTATATGAAAGATACCTATAAAGCATCTATGTTAAATATGGTTTATTGATGGCTATAAAACAGATAGAGACCACTATCAGACTCCTTCCTGTCATGTGAGGAGAAGATGAGCATTAGAATCAAAGCCTCTTCTTGGAGATGAACTCCTTGTGATTATGTCCTCATGGTTTTAAGTGTTAGGGAGCCCAGAATCATGGAGTTTAGATCCCAGGACCAACAGGAAAATCCTGAGAGTGTAACCTCTGACCTTAATGAGAGTGTGACCTCTGACCTTAGAAATATGGATTATTTCCAGGTGATGTATTTTTAAAATAGAGCTGCCCTAACTGGGTGGGGCTGAGAACCAAGGAGGCTCAAGGTGGTCAGGAATTTTGTTCAGGTTCACATAAGTCATCAGTAATAATATTGCCTCATGAACTTGTGTCCTGATTTGCACTGTAATAGTCCTTCCACTAAACCAGATTTCTTTGAATTGTTTTTCCTATTTGAATAATAATATGTATGAAAAGACTTATATTATTAGTAGCCCATTCAGTAGCAATTGCATCCTGAATTACACAAAATGAGATAGGTTTGTGGTAGGGGGTTTAAGTAATTTAAATTCCAGAATGACCCTGTTAAAATAAAATCTCATCTCTACCATGGGGGCTTAATAGCACCCAAAGGACACTCCTTCCATAAGCACGTCCTCAAATCTGCCCTCTTCTCTGTATCTCCTCTGCTAATCTCTGGTCCAAGTGATCAAAATCCTCTACTTAAATAACTATAAAAGTCTCCTAAAGGATCTTTTTGTTTCCATTCTTGTCCTTCTAAAATCCATTTCCAACAGAGTAGTCCAAGTTATTCCCCTGTTTAAAGTCTCTCAGAGCTTCTCAGCTCCCCACTGTGTTCAAAATAAAATCCAAATTTCTTACTAGGGCTTGCATGACTCTTTACTTTGCTTACTACCCTTCAACATGTTTGTGTCCCTCAAGGACACTCTATCAGTGTCCACCCTATGACCCTTGTCCTTGTCAGTGTCCACCCCATGACCCTTGTCCCTGCTCTTTTTCCTGTTTGGATGATCCCCTCTGGCTCTCTGCATGGCTGGTTCTTTGTTTCTTCGGTCTAAGTTCAAGTGTCACCTTCCATGTAAAAACTTCCCTGAGTATCCCCTTAAGAATATTTCCATCCCATCATCGTATTTTATTTATTAACAGTAAGTAATAGTAGCCAACATTTGCTAAACATTTACCACAAACCAGACACTGTTGCATGCACTTTCCAGATTAACTCATTTTATTCTAATAACTGTCCTATATGATACAGGAAACTTGCAGATGAGAAAGCAGACATAGAAATTAAGAAACATGCTTCATTCACAAAGTGTGTGTTCTCTTGTCTACTGCTGTGTAATAGCCCAAATTGCTGATGTAAGCTATCACTACTTGTCTTGGTTCTGTAGGTTGACTGGACTCTCCTCAATGGTTCTTACGGCAGGTGTCTCGTGCTGTTGCAGCCAGATGGCAGCTGGAGCCGGAGTCCTCTGAGAGCTTGATTAGGCTGTACATCCAAGGTGACTTCTTCATTACCAGACCCATGGTCTTAGTGAGATGACTAGGACAGCTAGGTTCTGGTCAGGCATCTCTTTCCATACAGCCTCTGCACATGGCTTCCTCAGCCTGGCAGAGTCAAGTGGCTGAGCTTCTTACATGGTAGCTGGCCTCCTCCCAAGTGAGCATTGTATAAGACCCAGGTGGAGGCTGAAACTCTTCTTACGACCTAGCCTCGGAAGACACATATCACTTGTGCCTCATTCTGCTGGTCAAAAGCAAGTAATGGGGTCCACCCAGATTCAAAGAGAGGGACCTGTATAACAGCATGAATACCAGGAGGTATGGTTTAGTGGGGCTGTGGTGGTGGGGTCGTCCGTGGAGGCTGGTTACCGCAATGAATAAATGGCAGAGTCAAGATTTAAACATACATAACGTGACTCTAGAGCCCTCACTTTAAACTGCTAATATGTTTGGAAATTATTTTGTTTAATCATGTTTACTTTGTTACAGTCTCTTGCTCCTGCATCCCATCTCCCCTTGCTCCCCCTTCACCATAATGAAAGCTTCCGGAGTGCTGGGACTTTGTGTGCTGTGCTCTGTGGCATGCTCAGAACCTAGAGCCAGGCAGATACATCATATACACTTAACAAACAGTTGGTGAACCAGTGAGTGGACGTTCTAGACCAGAGCGTATGGAAGTTACACTATAAACTATAAGATATGTGTGTTCTTTAGAGTACGAACACAACTCCAAAATACAGTGGGTCAGCAAGAGCCACTTATCAATGCAGAGCTAGGCAGTTGGTCCAGGGTGGATGGGTGACTTTGCTCCACAAAGACACGCAGGGACTTGGGTTCCTTCTCTTGTTACTCTGCCATCCTGTGAGAGGGTTGAGGAGTCCTTCCACATACAAAGGTGAAGTCAGTTTACCCCTACCTGCCCTCAGGAAGGATGAAAAAGAGGGTGGAGGGCAAGCAGATTCCTTGCCCCAGTACAGTCACATTGGAGATTAGGGCTTTGACAAAGGAATTTTCCTGGGGTGATGAGGGGTACACAAATCAGTCCATAGCATTTATCTTTGGAAATTATAACTGAAAAAGTGGTTTTTCTTAATTATTATTTCTAATTTCCAAACTATTCAGGAGTAAGAGAAAATATGCTTAAGACTCTCTGTCCTTTGAGGGTTTGCCATGTACCAATGTCATTATACCAATAGCAATGACAACAATAAGAACAACAAACTAGGTTTGTTTGTCTTGGTTTTCTATTTTGAGGAATCATTAAGACGGAGTGTTTTAAATCTAGATTCATGGTCTATGACGAGGAGGGTCATCTGATACTCATTCCTAAACTTTGCAAAGGGCAATTCTCCTAGAGAAAAGAGGACCATTCTTCAGTTAGAAGCTCTAAATCAATTCTAAAGAAGCCATTAGCAGAAGAATTTAGGAATTCTTCATCCAGTGCCTTTGAGTATGCCACACAGCTCCCACACAGAAATAGACATGGGTTAGATCAATTCAGTAATAAAATTTACCACATGGTTTTAGGGGATTACTCTATAGACAAAACAAAGAGTTGATTGACTATGCTGGGGTCTTTTTAACTGGTCACTTTGACATATTTTAGATAAAGCCAGTATTATTTGTGCTAAAATGTTAGATACTAAACTTCCTCTCCTATGAATAAATAAATTCTTTTTACTTTTAACCCTAATGGAAAACTGGCCACAGTGAGACAATCTGCCTAGGAGGGATAGAGTATATAACATTTTCAAATGAATTTGGGCAGAAGAGTGAACTAAATGTTAGATGGAAAATGTAATGCTCATATCTTATTAAATTATAAAACATGAATAGAATTATAATAATTCTTGAATATAATGAATAGAATTATAATTCTTAATAGAATTATGATTTTGTTCTCATAAGTTGTTGCAAGATAGCAGAACACTTTTGGTCTATGAACCAAGTGACTGAGTCCAACTTCTGCTTACACAATTAACTAGTTGTGTGAACTTGGGCAAGTCCCTTAACTTTGCTGGGTCTCAGCATCCTATTCAATGTGATGAGAGGAGGGATGGGTCATCTAGTGTTTGGGGTACAGTGATATATGTAATGTGATGATAATATATGTAATGTGACTTACCTTAATGTTTAACATATAGCAAAATTTTATTTATATATAAAAATTGTTTGTAATGGTGGTGGTTGCTGTGATTCTTATCTCTAAGGCCCTTTTTGACAGTAGCATTTTATTGTTTTGTTTTCATTTTCACTTTGGACGAGGGGTAGGATTATAAAGAATATAAGACTTCCAACAACAAAAACAAACACCTTCTCTAAAAACCAACTAAAAAAGTGTGTGTGTGTCAGGCAGAGAGGAGCAATTTCAGTAAAATCTAGAATTCTATTTGGATAGAAAGCAGCTCATTGTTTCAGTCACAACATTAAAAATCTCGTCAGTATTAAACTGTAACTACTGAAGTTTTTACCTTCACTTTCTGGTGGTTAAAATAGTTCTTCATTAAAAATCATTCCCTTACACCCCCAAATTAAATTAATGAAGTCTGTGGAATAAAGATGTAGCATGTTTTGTAAGGGTCCCACAGTAGGTCGTTTATATCATCAAGCATTTGACCCTAGAGGTAAAAAAAATTACAAGTTTCTTTACTGTGCAAGTAGCTACATTTAAAATATATTACCAAAGATTGCAACAATTTTTATTTTGGATGTTTATCTTAAAATTGATGCTGGGTTAGCATTTCTTTTGAATGTCTGTGTTTTTAAAAAGTGTTGGAATTCTATTAATGATTTGCTGAGGTATGGATCCATTCTAAATAATTGCTTGTGTTTCTTAGAAAAGAAAATTGACTATTTACAATGAACATAATCTACTACCTATTCTTTGATTTTGTGTTAACAGCTTTTAGAATTAGAGCTCAGTAGCAAAAACAAAACAAAGAACACCTTTTTCTAGCCAACTAACCAGGAACCAAAAGTCACATCCTAGAATCCTGGCCTCCAATTTCATTCTTGTAGAGAAAGGCCAGTACCTTAAATAGCTTATGTCTTTTGTATTTGTGATTGACAAATGGATTCAAAGCTTTTAAAGCCTAAGACTTATATTAGTTTCCTAGGGCTGCTGTAACAAATTACCACAAAACGGGTGGCTTAAAACAACAGAAATTAATTTTCTCACGGTTCTGGAGTCCAGAAGTTTGAAATCAAGGTGTTTACAGGGCCATCCCCTCTCTGAAGGCCCTGCGGAAGTATCCTCCCTTGCCTCTTCACCTTCTGGTGGCCCCAGGTATCCCTGGCTGTGATCACATTACTTCAGTCTCTATCTTCATTTTCTTAGGACATTCTCTGTCCTTCCCTGTCTTTTATAACCAGACTCTCATTAGATTTAGACCACACCTGAATCCAATATGATCTCGTTTTTATTCTTACCTTAATTATATCTGCAAAGATCCTATGTCTAGACAAGGTCACATTCTGGGGCTCTGGGTGGACATGAATTTTGCAGGGATATTATTTGACCCACTACACAATTCCATTTTTCTTTGTGGTTTATACTATCTCTGACTATAACCAAAGATCTCAAGTTGGGTCTTCATGGAGTGAGAGAATCAAAGTGGGTAATTAGAATATATTTAGTAATTTGCATCATGAAGAAATTTAGACTTACATTGGATCTTTATACGTATGGAAAATGGAGCCAGTCTTTACTTCTGGTGGTGGGGCAAGTAGGTGGGGTGCTTCAATCAATCAAGAGATCACCATTCACACAAAATGTTTTTTAAAGTGATGCTGTTAAATTAAGGTTTTACAGTTTTAGAACAGACTGGAAAATAATCATACGCCTTGAATAATATATTTACACCTGACTTCACATTAAATGGAGGCAGGTAGTAGAATCGTGAAATCTCTGTTTTTGTGTTGCTCAAGTTTTAATAGCTTCTAGTTTAGTGTTTATAATTTTCATGTATGTATTTATATTCATATACATTTCAAGTCTTGCAAAGTATCTTAAAAAATCATCTATGAACTGAACCAATTATTTCACATATTATTCATTATTTTGCCATTAAGGAAAATACTTGCATCCATCATTTTCCCATGAGTGCCTAAGCAAAATCTGGGGGAAGGGTCCAAAACCACAACATAAATGATATTTATAACGATCTCAGAGTTACTAGCGGACAAAGTTTTCATTAAATGCTCATGCTCCAAAATTGGGAAAGGCCTTGAGACCTGTATCTTTTGCTTCTCATTCTGTGCTTAAACACAAAAGGGGTTGGTGTAAGGGGGACAGAGCAGTCTGAGTGGAGGCTGAGTGTTCGCCATCCTTTATTCTTCCCTCCTGCTCATGTCTATCTAACTGTCTGTCCTAACACAACCAGTGAAAATTTATTCTGGACCAGGCAAGCATCTGTATTGTTTGGTCGTTTGGGGGAAGCTGGAGCTAGTAAGGACCTGGGTCTACTCCAGTCAGCTGCCCTGCCCTGCTCAAGTGCCCTTCTGTCCTCATCTCTGCTTACTCAATCAGTTTGCAACTCAGAGGGGACAGTTAACTCTGAATTTCTCTTATTTTTCATGATGTAGCAAAACTTTGGAGTACACAATATTTTCTTCTTAACATTGACAAATACAAATTAAGAGAAGTAAATAACTTTATTAAGAGCCATTATTGTAAAACTGAAAAATAAGTAGATCAAGTAGTCACAAGCACAGTTACAAATGAAAGAAGGGTGTATTTGAGTCAAGGATTCCATTGTTAAAATACAAATTTGTAAAACAGTAAGGGTCTTCTGAAAGTAAGAGATCAGATATTTACTTATAAACACAGCATTTATGATAATCTGCTAAAATTATTATCTAATACAATGATTTTGACTAGATTCTAGTTTCAGTGTCCTGGGGGACTGATTTCTACAATGTTAACATGGAAAAGAGGTATATTTCTATTTTTTCCTTGCAGGGTATTGTTAGGACAAAGGCCTTTTTGTTTGCAATGCAG